TCCATCCTGTTGAGGGTTGTTGTCTTTTTGTGCTGATCCTCTATCTTACCAAGCATGATGTCATTCTCCAGGGACCAGCCCCCTCCTGATAACATGCCCAAAGTATGTAATTCAAAGTCTCTCCAGCCTCACTTCTAAGGAGCGCTCGGCTTGTACTTCGTCCAAGACAGAGTTGCTCATTCTTCTGGCAGGCCATGGTATAGTCAATATTCTTCACCTTCAGGCTCTTATGGAGTGGTGGGGAAGTGACTTTGACAACTGGGGCCACCCCTGAGACCGCAGGACCGCTGACGGGGGCTGTGGGAAGGTATACATGTGTCCACTGGAAATAGAAACTTGGGAGAGCCTGGTAGGAGTCGTGTAGCAGCGGCTTCTCTGCGCCTGTGGGCAGTTACTGGCCTCCCTGGCTCTGCGTCTTTGTCTGGAAGCAGGGATATTTCGACCGGCCGCATGAAGATGTGGAATTCACCAGGGGAGCGCCCTAAAGGGCCCAGGCAAGAGGTGGCGGAGGACTGGTGAGCCTGTGTGTTCCAGGTGCTCAGCGGCGCCCTCGACGCCTGGCAGAGGGCAGACGGGCTGCCCCCGCCCCAGGGGACTGGTTCCTGGCCCTGCCTCCCACCTCCTGATATACAGCGGGCATTAGGCCGCCCAAAGGGGATACTGCATCCTTAGGAAGAAATATGTCCTCATTTTTCTTAAACACCGTTTCCACTGAGTGAAATGTTTAGAAGGGACGCACAGGGAGAACTTTATTTCCTACCAGGGAGTTCAGAGCCACCAAGCAGAGCCCATAAAGCACTGGGAGCCTGGTAGCTGACAGGCGGCCTGGGCCGAAACACCATCATTCACGGGGTGGGAGGCCCCACCGGCCTGCCCGGTCTCCTGGGAACGTGTCCACCGCCCCAGAGCAGGACATCCAGCCCAGAGACACAGGGCCCAGAGCCATTGGCATGGGCCACCTCAGCTGCTGGGGGGTAGCCTTGACTTCAGGCTCTTTGTGGGCTCAGACCTGGCTCGGGCCCCACAAGGGACCCCTTCTCAGTATTCCACCGTTACTCCTGGAGTCAGAGGACAGGGGCCCAGGTGTGGCTGCAGAAGCCCCACTTCCTCCCAACACTGGCAGAGCCCTGGCCTTCCCCAGCCTTCAGAGGGAGTGATGAGATTCATGCCAGCTTGGGCCCCTTCTCCCGAGGCCCTCCCCTCATTCGATTTCTGAAGCTGGCTGATTTGAATATTTATAAATATCAGTAAATTATTTATTGTAGCAATCTGCTGCACCATTTTACCCATTGCAGTTAACACTTTAGGGGGCTCTGTGCTATGGGAGCAGAGAGTGGGGGTGTGGAGGAGACAGGCAGGGGCCAAAAGGGACATGGGGCCGACTGAGGCTTCCTAGGAGCCCCCTGGAGCCTCCGCGAGGAAATTGCTGGGCAATCCAAGCCCACTGACCCCGACCCCCACTGATCCCCAGCCTGGGCAGGATCTTGTCCAGGGTAAGCCTGGGCTCTGGGGTGTCTGTGGCTGTGAGGATCCGTGTCAGCCTCTGAGATGCGGACAGTGGCACTTCCTACTTCACTGGGATGTTAGGCATCACTGAGATGGTGTCTGGAAAGGTGAGCAGTTCAGGCCGAGCCCCATTCTCCCTCTAGGCCCATCAGGATCTCAGCTAAGAAAAGAGCTGCCTGTAGGTGCCTGGTGGGGCTGGAAAGGAGCAGAACCCTAGGAGGGTAGGGCAGAAAGTGGGGGGCGATGAGAGAGAGAGGCCCTCCAGCCTCCCCTTGCTCCCTCCCTCTTCTGTGCAGGGTAAGGTGTCCTGCTGCCAGGTTCTCCTGCCCAGATGTGGAGCCACATCTGGCCATTAGGCACCCTCTCACCTTACCATTCGGTACCCACTGCACTGCTCAGAGAACCGCCTGGGACCCAGAGATAATGGGAGGCAAGGCCAGACACTGAGCTCCCACTTCGGGTGATGGGGGCCACCTCCCGCTTTCTTCCCTGGGAGCCCACCCCAGGGTACCAGCCTGAATGGTCTCACCTCAGCTACCCTCACCCCTTACCTCCCCCTCAGTAAGCGAACAAGAGAGCCCGTGCCTTCCCACCCTCTGGTCCAGCCTGCCCCCTGGGCAGTATTGTTCCCAGAGGAAGTGTCCAGTGTAAATAGAGCAGCGGGCAGGCTGGTGGCGGGAAGGAGATGAAAGGGGCAGTGACAGGGCCGGGGGACGGATGGCTTCCTCCCATTGAGGCCTGGCTACGGGCGTTTATATTTTAGGGAAGAAAGTCAGGGGAATGTTTACATGGGCAGGAGCCTGGGGTCAGATGGGGGTGGGGGTGGTAGTCTGCGGGTCCTCTCACTCCACTGGGGAGCAGGGGAGGAAGGCCTGGGTTGGTCCAAAGGCAGGCACGAGGGCAGCTTCAAACTTACATCCATCACCTCTCACTCAGCCTTGTATGTGCCCCCCCCCAGGAGCACTGCCTCTGCCTCCTCCCCATAGCCCAGCCCTCGGCCTTCTCCCACCTCCGCCCCTGGGGCCACAGTAGAGTCAGAGGGAGGGCAACATCTGGAAGGCAGGTGGGCTGGGGCCGAGCAGCAGCTGGAGAGCAGGTGGAGGGGGGAGTCGTTAGGAGCAAAGGGGCCGGAGGGCTGGGGGGGCCCAGGGTGCACAGCTGCATCCCAGCTGGAGGGGGGCCCAGGCAGGGTCTGAGCCAGGCACACAGCCGAGATGGGAAGAGGGTGGGCAGGCTGGGTGGGCCATAGTGTGGTTGAGGCTCCAGGATGGGTGGGGGTACCGGGGGGGAGGGGTGTCACCAGCAGCAAGTGCAGCCTGGGGAGCTTGTGCTGCCCTCTCTTCCTTGGGATAAATATTTATAGATTCATTTGCCGTCTGCCGTACACACTTGGCTGCTTCCCTCCTGGTAAAAATAGTGCAGAGCCCCCCCTCTTCCTTCCCCATCCAGGACAGGGGACAAAGGGGACCAGGTGAGACCTCTCCCCTATAGGGCCAAGAGTAGTGAGAGATTGGGCCAGAGGCCTGGTGAAGGGAACTTGGTGGCACTAAGCTTGGGAGGCGGCCCCGAGACTAAGTGTCAGGTGGGATTGGAGCCCCACTGCTGAGGGTGAGGAAGGGTTCCCTCATCTGTGCTCTGTGACTGGAGGTGTAGCAACACCGAGTTGGAGAGGTGGGAAAACTGGAACTGATTTGGGCAATGAGAGGCCAAAGGGCCAGGAGGCAGGCAGACCTCTTCTCTGATGTCAGGGTGAGGTGTCTGCAGATAGCAAGAACAGCCAGGCCGGCTAAGGCTATGCACACTGGCGCTGACCACGTGGCTGGGGTCAGCCTGTGCCCATTGGATGCTGTCTCTTATCAGGAGGGGACGAGTGTACACTTCTAAATGTACAGGCAGATCCTCTCGTGAGGCTTAGGGCAGGCACAGGGTATAGTCAGTCCTACTTGCGTGTCTCGGTGGGATTCCAGAGGGATTGGTCCAGAGGTATTTTATGGGGATTGATCCACTATAATGAAGTCTCTTCTGATTGTGAACTTGAGGGGTAGAGCCTGACCAGTCCTCTGGTAGAGGGCACTTGATTCAGGACACAAGGAGCCTGGCAATTGGGAGCCAGCTTCAGTGCAGCCCCCTGTGCACCAAGTGTGAGCTGAAGACCATGTTTAGGGCAGCCCCTGCCCATCCCAGCTCCACCAAAGAGTCTGACACACAGTAGAGGCTTGCTGGATGGATACATGGATCTGTCAGCAGACAGACATAAGTAAACATGTGAGGGGTGTGTGTGTGTGTGTGTGTGTGTGTGTGTGGACTCTCATTGGGCTTTGTGACAGACCTCAAACTGGTGGAGAGCTTGTATTCCACAGGGTCCTCAGTGTCATCACAGAGACAAGAGGTTGGGGGCTGTTCATCTGCCCTGAGTCCAGGGAATGTTTCTGGCTATTTGTGTTGTTGATCTGTCAGGTTGAAGGGCTAGACAGTGAAACTTCCACTTCTGGGCTTCCCACTGAGAAGTTCAGAGATTTCTGCCTTTTCCAACTGGGACTCCTTGGGGTGAGAAGTGACTCTTCAGAGCCAGTGAAGGCAGTCCAAGAGCTGGCCGACCGAGGGCAAGAAGGACATGTGAGGTCATGGCCAGATGGTGGAGGGGAGGACGAATGGCTTTAAAATGGGCTGAGGCATTGTGCATCTTATTGGTGCTTGAGATGAGGGTAGGACAATAGGAAATATCCAGGAAACCAAGAGAGGGACTGGGGTGGGGATAGAAATGCCTAACCAAGGTTGGGAGTAAGAACATGACTTCCTGGAAAGGCCCAGGTAGCTGGAGAAACGAAGATTCTGGAACTCCCAGGGAAGAGGGTGGAGTCCCGGCACCTGGCCAGAAGAGAAGCCATGGAGGAGGTGATGCAGAGGGAATGGGTCAGGTGATGCAGAGGGGAAGAGTCAGCTCATGCTTCTGGGCAGGCAGGCAGGAGGCCACACAAGCTGGCCTGGCCCTTGGCTGTTTCCTCCCTAAGAGGCCGTAGGTAGGGAAGAAAGCTTACAAGGTGGACCTCAGTCCAAAGCTTGTCCGTGCCTCAATTTCCTGGTGTGTCCAAGGGCTCACCCACCCCCTTTCTACCAGGACTTACTGCTCCCTCCCCCCCCGCCCCCCGGAAGCCAGCACATCTAGGAAATGCTGCCAGGAGCTAGGTGTTGGGAAGAGGCCTCCTTGTATTCATTCATTCATGCATTTATTTATCTGTTCATTCACAAGCTATTTCCTGGAGCACCTACTCTGTGCCAGGTGCTGTTCCAGGCTGGGGAGAGGGTGGTACACAGGGGCAGCCCCTGACACTCTCACTCTAATCTTGTGTAAATGCTCTGGACAGTCTTGAGCTGCACAGGAACAGGAAGACCTCTGGCTTAGGGGGTGGGGAAGGGCCAGGTCTCAGCCCTTCAAGGGGTGGCAGTGTTGGACCTGCATTCTCTGACACATGCCCTCCTCCATCCCTTCAGCTGAAGGCACCCAGTGCTCCCACCCGCCTGCAGGCAAGCCCGCCATGGCGGCAGCCAAGCGCAAAGGCGGCCTGAAGCTCAACGCCATCTGTGCCAAGCTGAGCCGCCAGGTGGTGGTAGAGAAGGGAGCAGAGGCTGGCTCCCACACTGAAGGCAGCCCCTTGCGGCCCCGGGACAAAGAGCGCAGTGGCCCTGAATCGGGGGTGGCCCGGACCCCCCGCAGCGAAGAAGACAAGAGACGAGCAGTGATTGAGAAGTGGGTCAACGGAGAGTACAGCGAGGAACCAGTGACCACCCCAGTGCTGGGGCGCATCATCCGGGAGGGCCTGGAGCAGCCCCCTGAGGGCGTCTACATGGTGCAGCCCCAGGGCTGCAGCGATGAGGAGGACCATGGAGAGGAGCCCACCAAGGACAGCAGTGTCACGGAGGAGAAGGACTCAGACCGGGCAGCCACAAAGGATGACAGTGGTCCCAATGCCAAGCAGGCCTCTGGTAAGTGTCTGCCTTCAAAGAGATAGGACACCACCTCGTGGGGAGGGCCCTGACAGAAGGCTGCTGTGTCCAGGAGCACACATGCATCCCTTACTCTGGCTCTAACTGTGGGCCTGAACACAGCTTGCACCCCTGAGGGAAAGGGTAGGAACTTGGACACAAGGTAAGTGACTGAAAGAGGTGGAAGGAGGTCAACAAGGAGGGAAAGAAGTGGTGCCAGGAAGCTATTTTCCCAAGTGTGTGAACAAGGCTGTTGTGTACCACTGAGTCGGAACCAACTCATAGCTCATCTTGCAGTGGGTTTTTTTAGAGGCTATTAATCATACAGGAGGAGATGGCCCATCTTTCTCCCATGGAGCAGCTGGTGGATTTGAAACACTGGCAGCACAGCTCCTTACCACTAAGCCACCAGAGTTCTCTGTGAGCAGAGGCTAAGAGCTGCCTAAAAGAAAAAGATGATAGATGATTGATAGATAGATAGATAGATAGATAGATAGATAGATAGATAGATAGATGAGTGGAGAGACAAATGGACAGTGGATAGGTGGGTGGGTGGATGGATGGATGGATGGATGGATGGATGGATGGATAAATAGAAAGATGAATGGATGAGTAGATACACAAATAGATGGACCGTGGATGGGTGGATGGATGGATGGATGGGTGGATGGATGGAAAGAAAGATGAATGGATGAGTAGATACACCAGCAGATGGACAGAGGATGGGTGGATGGATGGATGGATGGATGGATGGATCAATGACTAGATGGATGGATGGATGGATGGATGAGTAGATGGAAAAAAAGATGAATGGATGAGTAGATACACAAACAGATGGACAGTGGATGGGTGGATGGATGGATGGATGGATGGATGGATGGATGGATGGATGGATGGATGAGTGGTTGGAAAGAAAGATGAATGGATGAGTAGATACACAAACAGATGGACAGTGGATGGATGGATGGAAAGAAAGATGAATAGATGAGAAGATACACAAACAGATGGACAATGGATGGATGGATGGATGGATGGATGGATGGATGGATGGATGGAAAGAAAGGTGAATGGATGAGTAGAAAAAAAACAAATGGACAGTGGATGGGTGCATGGATGAATGGAAATAAGGATGAATGGATGAGTAGATACACAAACAGATGGACAGTGAATAGAAGGACAGTGGGTGGGAGTGAGTGGAAAGACAGATGGAAGGACTGGGTAAGAGTGAGTAGATGGATGGATGGATGGATGGATGGATGGATGGATGGATGGATGGATAGACAGACATTTGGTGGGAGGTAGAGAGGAGGATGGATGGACAGTGAATGGGTAGGTAACTGGAAGGATTGACTGAGTGAATAGATAGTAGATGGACATTTGGTGGATAAGTGAAGGGATGGATGGAGAGATGGACAGTGAGTGGATGGATGAGTGGACATAAGACTGGCTCTATTTTTACCACACCTACACAGGACAAGTCTATTTGGGATCACAATATTTTCAGGCAAGTGTGGAAGGCAACGGTCAGCACCGAGAACTGTCTGAGCTGTTCAAATGTGATTTCTCAGGGAGGTTTCTCTGAGGAACTCTGGGATAGCTTTT